ATATATTAAAAATCCCATTACAGCCCCCAGGTCAAAAGAATGTAGTAAAACCTTTTATATATATATAAAACATGTGTGTGTATTGCACATGCATTGTTAACCCTTTTTAGAATCAAGATGAGATGCGACAGAGCTTTTAACCTTTTTAAAATTCTAACATAGCTTGGAACAGGATGACACTGACATTTTACTGATACAGCTAAAACAGGCTGTTCCAATGGTTAACTAACATAGTACCTAAATAATAGTGGTCATTATAGGTTTATGGAACCAATTCACTCTTTCTGATAGGCTAAAATCTTATTTATTCCTGCTATCAACCATTATGAAAATGAATGTTATTCCTTTTTTCCTGGCTTGCCCATAACCACTACAGTAATTATAGACTAGAGGAATACAGTCCCCCAAATGTACTTACCTCTTTCATTGCTGGCTCTGTCCCTACGTGGTTGGAAAGGCTGTAAGTAGCAGCCACAAACAATGCAGTTGCTTCAAGTCCTTCTTCAAACTGCAGATACACTCCTCCAAGGTCATCCAGACGAGCAACAAGATCCTATGGCAAGATTATTATGAAAGGAGCTTTGTAGAAATCCATTTCATAGCATGGGGTCATGAAAAATCAGAATTCAAAGTCAATTGCATAGCATTTTTTAGTTCAGCTGCAGATATGTTATTTATTTGAAGAGTTTGAGATGGGCTGGAAGCTTTTAATAATATTTTCAAAGTAACACTTAAATAATATTTTTAAACCTTTTCTTAGGCATAGTTGAGTTTTTCAAAATTATTTGTTATTTGCACATACCTCCACATGTGCTCAATACACACACACTAGCAGAGAAAGAGAATACATTAGCTGTTTTCATCCAGAGTCTCACACCATGCATCCAGAAATGTAACAAACACCTTGTTACCAAGTTTTCCCTTCTACAAGTGCAAATAAACAATGGGATTCCAGCCTTCATACAGTGGTGCCTCGCTTAACGAAGATAATCTGTTCCAGGAAAATTGCCGTTAAGCAAAAACATCGTAAAGCGAAATTAAAAACCCCATTGAAACCCGTTCAATGCGTTCCAATGGGGTAAAACCTCACCGTCCAGCGAAGATCCTCCATATGGCGGCTATTTTTGTTGCCTGTATAGTGAGCAATCCGTCCCTAAGCACAGCGGGGAGCCATTTTAAGCACCTGGTGGCCATTTTGAAAACCTGATGATCAGCTGTTTTTGATTGTCGTAAAGCGAAAATCGGTTCCCGAAGCAGGGAACCGATCATTGCTAAGCAAAATTCTCCCATTTGGACCATTGTTTTGCAATCGCAAAAAGATCGTCGTAAAGTGGCTTTGTCATAAGGCGGGGCAATCGTTAAGCGAGGCACCACTGTATTGTTGTCCACTTTGGGATATTTCAAGCTGAACTGGAAGTTACAAAAATAGAATAAATGAAATGAATACCTCTATCTCCTCCACGATGCCTCTTAAATCAGCTTGCTGGGATAAGTATGATGCTGTCTGCAAAGCCTGTATTGTTCTGAGACAAAGGAAACCACAGTATGGAGATGTGGTAAGTATACAATATGTGATGTTTCCAGTTTAGAGAAGGCTGCTAGTCTTCAAAAGGATTCATTTAGAACAACAATATATAACAGAAGGCTACAACAGCAATTGGTCTATGACAAAAGGAGCGGAAGAGGGGTGCACAAAACAAAATGCCAAAATCCACAATACCAGGTTAGAAGAAAGTCAACACTGTTTCCGCAGAACACAAAATGAAGGCAAAAATACTCAGATTTCATTATTTCAAGTACACCCTCTAAAACCAGAGTTATTCTACTATCAGAGAAGCGAGAATTCAAAAAGCCTCAATGTATTATTATCTAATTGTATCCAGTACCCTAAATCAATGTGTATCAACTATGCTCTCTAACTACAATCAGAAGACATTATGCAAATATCAGTGGCAACATTAAAATGTCTGTTGTTAGCTTACACAATTCATCCTAATGGTAATTTAATGCAATATGGAGCTTAATATGATGAAGTACGTAGAGAACTCTTGTAATATTGGTCTATAGTCAAATGGGTAGGACTGTAAGAATAAGGAGATCTGCAAATTGTAGAAGCAGCTTCTTGGACCAACAGGAACCCTCAAATATCAACTACTTTTGTATACTTTCTCTTTAAAACAAAGGCTGAGATTCTCGGGATAATACAGTTCAATGTAGGGAGCCTAGTTCATGGTGTGTAACTGTAGAAGATCACGCAGAAAATTATACAGATTGATTCAATGAAGGAAGCTATTTGCAAGACCTGAGTAGAGGTATTAAAGATAGGGCTTTTTGGATCTCATTAATTGCCAGAAATGACACTGACAACTCACAGCAACAAATAGGCAGTTTCAGAAAAATAACACATTTGTTGATTGAACATTCTTGTTTAATTCTTCTCAGAAGAAACAACTATTTGCCACTCCTTCAGTGTTAACTGCTACATAGACTGTCCAACATTTTAGCAACTGAGGCAGAGAGCTTACAGAGAGAATGTCTTATGTAGGATGCTTAAAATGTTTTTAAGACTATAAATGTGTATACCCAACTGCACATAAAGCCCTAAACGGCTAAGGACAGAGGTGGGCAATTAATTTCCATAGGGGGCCACATGAAAAATCTGAACTGTGTTCAGGGGCCGAACAAACTTTACTTAAAAATAAAAGATAAGCAACTGATCAACTTTAGACAAAAAGCTATAAATGGTTTTGATGTTCAACTTGTTCAGTGAGAGAAATCCAGTCTGTCTTGGGCTTGAACAAATTCTTGAATACCGGACTGGAGTGATGACCGACGGGGCGGACAGGAGCGGCTTGTGGGCCGTATGTGGCCCTCAGGCCGCACTATGCCCAGGTCTGGCTTAGGACCTGGTTACCTAAAGGACCACCTTCTTCCATATGAGCCTGCCCATCCTCTAAGATCAGGCCAGGAGGCCCTTCTGAAGGTGCCATCCCTGAAAGAGTTGAGGGGGATGGCATGTCAAAAAAGGGCCTTCTCGGCTGTTGTGCCCCAACTTTGGAATGCCCTCCCTATAGAGATCTGCCTGGCTCTAACACTTTTGGGCTTTTCGGCACCAGGCAAATGTTTAGCCAGCATTTTAATTAAATAGTATCCTTTAGCTGGCTGTATGAGCAGCAGGATTTATTAATATTAATGATAAACTGACTGTTTTAATATAGGGTATTATTATAATATTGCCTATTTTTAATGATTTTAATGTTTTCTAAAGTTTTAACATTGTTGTACACTGCTCAGAGACCACTGGTAATGGTGTGGCTAAAAAAATCTTATAAATAAAAGTGTTGGAAATATTTACTGCATTAAGCTACGGTTCTATTAAGAAATGGTTCATACTTAAATTTGCATAAATTGTATATATGAAGGTTGGGAAGTTCTATTCCCAAAGTCCTGAAAAAAGCTACCCAATCACAGAAAAGGCAATCCACTGCCTCACCTCATCCATAAAATATGTATAGTTTCCCCCCCCAATAGAATTATAAATAAAACAGTGATGGTAAGCCACTATAATGACAAATGGAACCCAATTCTATGCTTATTTATCTAGGAATAAGTCTTACAGAGATCAGAGGGGTCTGTAGACAGGGCTAAGGCTACATGGTTAATCATTTTATTTTTGATAAAACTTACGCCAAGACATTCTCTTCTTTGCTCAGACGAGAGGTGAGAGCTGTCAGGGCTTCTTGGGAAGCAAGGGGCAGTGCGAATCCACTCAAGGCTCCAACAGCATGATAGATCTGGGTTACTGAGGAGTCTTCACTGACAGCGGCAAGCAACAATTCTCGGGTCTCATTTGAAATGGGTATCTGAGAAAGAAAATGTTAAAAATATATTATAGCCCCTTTTAAAAAAAACCTCATTTTTGCAGTTTTCAGAAACTATGGTGAGAAGTGCTTAGCATTTCACCCTTGAATTGCTATCTGATCAAGGTGAACTTCAGACATTTCTCAGGTGTGGAAAGAGAAAATTGCCTTATATCTGCTAGACCAGGGGTCCCCAACCCCTGGTCTGCGAGCTTCCCAGAACTGGGACGCAGAGACGGATCTCCGCCCTCCCCCGCAAGCATGACACGCCCCCTGTGCATGGAGCCCGCCCCCCAACCGGTCCGCGGTTCCAAAAAGGTTGGGGACTGCTGTGCTAGACAACTGTCCATTCTGACGGGCAGTGGCTCTTCAAGGTCTGAGGCAGAAATCTTTTCCATTACCTACTACAGTACCTGGCCCCTACGAGTAAAGGCAAGACAGACTGAAGATGAAATCTGCTGCACAAGCTGTGATTCCTACTCACTTCTTACAAGCACAACAGAATGACAATTTGAGAGCCACACAACAAACCTCAAATCTAGTTCATGTGACATAAATGCCACATACTAGAAACCAAATTATATCCCTTAATGGTAATTTGTGGGAGGACAAAGATGCTTATTATACATGAATTCAGAAGAGTTTTCTCTCATTCAAGAGCTTCTAACTTTCAAGATAAACCACCGCTGACTAATATTAGTTTGATATCATAGCAGAAAAGGGGCATGTCAAATGGGAGTCCTCTATGATACAGCATAGAGGGTTCCTGTTCAGTCATCCCATGTTCCAGGACACTATATTACATTCCCTGGTCCTGTGTGCGTCCCCCAATCAGACAGCACTCCCACAAATAACTACCATGCTGAATCCTCATTTGGAGAGAGTATTCTTTCTGCCCCATTTCTTTTCTTAACTGTTGACACCTCCCTCTTGTGAATGGATACTGCATTTTGATTACATAAGGACCAGTGCTTGGGATAATGAAGACCACTATCTTCTTGTAAGATAATGAGAAATACAGTAGAATGCAAGTCACATTTGAAGTGGCACAGTTTGCAGCTCCCTCTACCAGGTACCCTACAGATATCTTGGCTACAACTCCCATCACTTCTAGATAGAATGGCCATATGTCTTGAAGAACAGCAGGCGAGGAATGTTGCTAGAGACAGTGAGTCTCCCTAAGATTAACAAAACACCCAAAACTCTCCAAATCATGGTTCGAGAAGGGAGATTAAGGGGAGACTCTGGGAACCATTACCTTCACTCACATGAAAATACCAGTGTTTCGGGGAAAATGGAAAACCTACAGGCCCCCAAAATGGTCTGAAGGTCCTATTGCCAAAGCTAAAGAGCTCTGGATTCACGAGTCACCTGAACAGGAGATTAACAGGAAGCATTCAAAAACAAACAAACAAGCAAACAAACAAAAACAGCTTGAAGCTCTTGAAGACAAGAACAGCAAAAATAAATACTTGAGAATTTAACAGAAATGCAGCCAAATTTTATGTTGAAGCCTTGTCTACTTCACATGCTATATCACATCTTTGATTAGGGTTGGGAAACTTGTCATACCATTGCTGCCTTTGATGCAACTTCTATACTCTTTTTCCAACCTCTGGATAAACGACTTCAAGATATTACTGCACACCATGACAGCCAGAAGAAAAACTGGGCAATATTACAGATTTTGGAGAGTTCTGTGAGTTGATTACCTGGCTATGGAGCCAGAGGTTGGAAGTTTAATTTCCCTGTGCTTCCCAGGAAAAGATCTTGCCTGGGCAGCCATGAGCAGTCTCAGACCACCTCCAGAAGAATGATAAATGGAGCCAGAGGTTGGAAGTTTAATTCCCCTGTGCTTCCCAGGAAAAGATCTTGACTGGGTAGCCATGAGCAGTCTCAAACCACTTCCAGAAGAATGATAACAATACTTCTGAGCATTTCTAGAAAACCCTAGAACGAGTCACCATGAGATGGAATAAGTTTGATAACACGTTATTATTTTTAATAGACTTCCTCTGCGGAAAAGAACTCACCTCACATCCAGACAATGCCTGGCTGGCCTGTGCAGCATAGAAGAGAGAATCAACACTATTGGGGTCTACTTTAGATTTTATGAAGCTGCATGCAGCCTGGATGGAAAAACAAATACAATAATTAAGGATAGGAGGACGAAGAAAATAAAGAAGAGTTTCACAAGCCAGCCTTGTACAACAAGAATGGATTCTTCCAACCCAGTTTCTTTGACAGATCTCAGGAGTTAAGGCAAAAGTCATCCATTGAAATAAAAACAAACAAACAAATCACCCAAAAGTCATCCATTGAAATAAAAACAAACCACGAAATGTTTGGGAGCCTTGGAACAGGAGAGGAGGGAGTTAAAATAGTTAAAAACCAGTGTCTGATCAACAATGGCAGGGTTGGGATGGCCAGCAGGATTTTCTACTGTTGAGGGCTCCCCTACAAGTCCAAAGCATCGTTGTATGAAGCAATCGTTGTGCGAGACACCACTGTAAAGACCTAGGGAGCCTCAGAACCTGAAAGGGAGGAGGGGAGATAGGAAGGTTTTAATGAAATATTAGCAGTGCTGATGACATCATCCAGTTTGTGCCACATAACTGCACAAACAAGGTCTTGACCAATGTGTATTACGTTCAACAGTTCATGTTCAACAATCTTGCAATGTAAATGAGGTTGAGTATGACTGAAGTCACCCTTGGGAACTCCACAATGATGGCTTGGCAGGCAAAACAAAAACAAAAATAAAAGACAAAAACATTGTGGCACCTTAAAGACTAACTGCTATATTTTAATGTGAGATTTTGTGGGCAAGTCTACTTCTTCAGACACAAAAGCTCACATTAAAATATAGCAGCTAGTCTTTAAGGTGCCACAATGTTTTTGTCTTTATTTTTATTTTGGTTTTGCTTGATATGCCAGCACAGAGTAACATGGCTACCTCTTCCAAAACTACAGTGGTTATAACGTATAAAGCCCTATAAGGTTTGAGTCCTGTATATCCGAAATATTGTATGTCCCCATATGAGCCCTCCCAGTCCTTAAGATCTTCAGAGGAGTCCCTTTTCTCTGTCCCACTGTCACTGTAGGTGTCTTTGTGGGGAATAGAAGAGAGGGCCTTCTCTGTAGCTGCTTCCAAATTGTGGAATGCTTTTCCTCAGGAGGGTTGGTTGGCCCCCTCCCTTTTATCCTTCCAACAACTGTCGGTAGACCCTCCTCTTCAGGCATGCTTTTATTAACTAAGATTGAGCTACTGTTTTTTTCCCCTCTCAGTTTGCTTTTAAAGTTTTAATTGGTTTTAATTAATGAATGGATTCTTAATTAGCATTGTAGTTTAACTGCTTTTAATTTGTATTTTATTGTATATTTAGTGTTAGTTGCTTTAGCGTTGCGAGTTGACTTGGGTCTCCTCACAAATTCTTACTTAAGCAAATACCATTATTTTCTATTAGATCAAGACAGTGATATACAGATATTTGGAAATCACTTTTCAATATCTGATAACACTCTGATCTTCATAATGAAATATCCTCACCTTTTCATCCGCCACTTGTCCTCCTAATTTCTTGAGTCCTACAATGGAGTAATAACTTCCTTCCAAATCAATGAACGGTCGCTCCAAAGAAGCTCGTAACCTTTGAACATCATGTTTGGTGAGATAATGGCTAGGAGTCAGAGCCCGTACACTGGCCACAAATATTAAGACAAAGATGAAAAGCTTGAGACACCCTAAAATTAAGAGGAAGAAGTTTAATAAATGCTCTATGAATGTCTCCATGGATAGTATGCTTAGGATAATGCTACTTATATGATGAAAAGTATTCAAAAGAATACCTAGAACCAATTACACAGCTCAGATTTAAAGGCTTACTGTAGAATTATCAAACTATACAATTAATGAAACAAATTTGATGCTCATATTGTAACACGGCCATCTTTCTCTTTGTATTCATCATTGTATTCATCATTAATAAAGTATTAATATTTAAAGTGAACCTCAACACAGCTGAAGTATGGGGAGTGTGGATTTAACGCTAGCTGTACTCATTTAATGACAGATTTACTCTAAAATTACCTTCAAGCTTTTGCTTTTCAAAATCTATATGAAATACAGGCTATAATTTTTAAAAAGAATGCTTAGTAATCAGCATAGCAATGCAGGATACTGGCCTGTTTGTAAGCTAATAAAACAGGCTTTTTACAAACTGCACTATCAATGGAGGGGTCATGTTTCTCTAACAACAATACCAATAAAAATAATAACAAAAACTGTGTGCCATCAAGTCCATTTCAACTTATAGCAACCCTTTTCAGAGTCTTCTAGGTACAGAATACACAGAAATAGTTTTAACACTCCCTTCTTCTGGGCCTGTGCAGCTTGCTCATAACTACACAGGCTGCGTCTTCTCCAGGAGGCACAGTAGGGAATCAAATTCCCAATCTCCAGCTCTGCAACCAGATAGCAAAAACTGTGTGCCATCAAGTCCATTTCAACTTATAGCAACCCTTTTCAGAGTCTTCTAGGTACAGAATACACAGAAATAGTTTTAACACTCCCTTCTTCTGGGCCTGTGCAGCTTGCTCATAACTACACAGGCTGCGTCTTCTCCAGGAGGCACAGTAGGGAATCAAACTCCCAATCTCCAGCTCTGCAACCAGATATCTAAACCACTATTTGGTTGCCTTTTCTGCCTCATCAGAAATCAAGTGAACTGGTAGAAAAGGCCTGGGGATCAGTCTCTTCAACCACATGCTTGTTCGCCTGAACAGAATTCTTTGGTATCTTTGGCTTTCAGGCATGTTACAAGGCAGTTGTTTGTTACATGGAGAATAGACACTGCCATTAAATGATTTGTCATAGAAATCTAAAATACCCCTTTTGATCTATAGAAATCTGATGTGCTTTTTTTACTTAGTACAAACACAAAACCACAGCTTTGCGTTCCATCTTAAAAACTATCACTATCTATCTTCTTTTCCTTTCATATTCACAACCTCAGTTTAGTGGATAGTTTCCCAACAAATACACACTGAAATATATTTAGTGCCTTCCTTTAACCAGGCTGACATTGCTAGTATGCATACCTGGGTGGTTTAAGGCATATTCTGCAATAGCCAACAATCCATTTAATTTTTGTGGTAACTTATAAATCTGTGTATGACTGGGATACCAAGTGAAACCAGACAGTCCTATTGACAATTACCTGATAAGTACCACTGAACATAGAAATTCAATAAACAGTCATGGTCTCATGGGACTGGGTGACATGCGACCTTGTACAAACAGCCTTTACAATAAACTGCATAGTCTTATAATCAGAACAGAGAAGATGCAAAAACTGGGGTGGATGGTAGTTTTACATGACCACTAAAATACCATAAATAATCAAAATGACAAGTTAAAAAAATTAAAACCCCTTTAAAATCATATTTAAGGAAGCAGATTCCATCTTGTCACTTTGGCTTAAAACAGAGATCCTGAAGCTTCAACATTTAGCCAGGATGAGTTCTGGATTTCTCACCCCTCGTTCCCAAGTTCTGTAACATCGAACCCTATGGGGAATCCTGCAAAACGCCAAGGCTCATATGTTCTTGATATTTTAGCGGCTCAATGAAAGTAATACTCCCCAACCCAATTTTTTCTTTCGAAATGCCCCCCCCCCAAAGCTTTCCTTTAAACCCTCTCTCGCTGTCTTTAAATATCTAATAGGCTCCAGTCGCTTATAAGCTTCAGGTGGTATATAATAGGTAGGGGCCGAGCGGCTCCTTCATGCTAGACGACGGTTCTGGGAGCAGCAAAAAGGTGGGTAGAGAACAAACGCCTGGCTATGTCTGACAAAAGCAGGGGCTGGCAAGCCATTTTGCCCCTGCCAAACGCCCTTCCTCGCTTTCTCTGAGGGAGGACCCCGCACTTCTGCCTCCATGAGCGAAGGGCTCCTGGTCTATCCACCTGTGAAGTGACTTGGAGGGCGACAGAACCCTTCTGACACGAGGCAGACACTTCCCGCTGCCTCGCCACCTCACTCCACTCCTTACCCGGGCCCGCCATGATGCCCCTTCGCCTCCGCATCCAGGGAAGAAGAGCCGACTTAAGCCCGGAGCTACGGAACGTACCATGCTGTAAGATAGGGAGTAGCTCAAGAAAGGGGCGGCGAGGAGAGCACTTGGGTCTTTCCGCCTTAAAAATATGGTATCTCAGTGTGTTCTGACCCTCGGATATAAACGAAGACCTGAGAAAAGGGCTTCTTTTGGACGCTCTCCCCTGATGCACTAATGGTACGCTCCAGTCCGCGGGTTCATACTGTGAAGGGCGGAGCACGAGGAAGGATGTGGAGGACGATGATTGGGTTGAAATGGAGTCATTCAAACTGAAGGAGGCAGATTCAAAGAGGAAGGACGGAGGGTGGAGGAAGTTGTGATTTTTAGAAGGGAGGGTTTTTGGTGTAAATCCTGGCGGTATTTGTACAGTTGGAGTCTGACGAATGCGATAGAGATTTACACTGTAAGGAATTACTGTACGCAGATTTATGGCTTTAGACTACAGTTCCCAGAATTCCACGGGCAGCATAGTTAGAGCGCAAAAAAACATAAGTCTGCATAGGTCTGATAAAGGCTTCCGTGGCTCAGCTGGACTGTGGAATGGGGTGGGAACTGCTGGATAATTCCGTGGTTTAGGTCTGGTTGGGAGTTCGATTCCCCACTGGGCCTCCTTCACAGGGGCTGTACTTGATGATCCATATGGTCCCTTCCAGCTTTGCAGTTCAAGGGTTGTTATAAGGCATCTGAATAAATCTCTCTCTCTTTCTTAATGCTTGCCTGCCCGGCTTTTCGGTGTATGCTTTGCAACCACCTCATGTGCATTGTTACTGCTATCTGTCATCAAGTTGCTTTGGACTTAACAGTGACCCCAGGAGGGATCCTGAAAGTATGTAAGATGTTCTAGGAGTGTTTTCCAGTGCCAACCTGCCCCCTATTTTGAGTTTCCATGTCCCAACACGGATCTAAATCCTGGACTTTTGTGTCCTTGGACAACACTCTGTCCACTTGGCCACATACCACATGTATGATAAAGCTTGGAAATCTTTGAGACCTTTCTCTTGTCCCCTCCATAGATTTTTCCATAAGTTCTGAATCTAGGACACGTGGTTTTTCTATAATTTTCAGCTAGCTTTTGTTGTTTTCTATGTTTACTATCAAACGTACAGTATCCAACTTTGCTTGGGTGCCTCGCCTTCCTCAGAGGCTCAGCCGGTCCGCGGTCCCAAAAAGGTTTGGGACCGCTGAGCTAAGCTGTACGAAACTTCCTGTTTCTAATTCTTTAACTCTGGAAAACTTTCAGGACAAATGAACAGACAGATTAATTATAAATATTTCTACAGGTTTATTTAAGATAGTAGTGTTTCTTTGTTGTTTCTTTTTAAATTGTTTAGGACTATTTTAGAAAAGTAACTTATACATCTTTTAAATAAACTCATGATGAAAGAGACATTGTTCCAGTTTCTGATTTTGCTTGGGATGGATGGCTGTCTTTCAGCACAGGTCAACCCGTGATTCAGTCTATGAACCTATAGATAGAACTATAGCTAGGAAGCTCTATCATTTTGAAACAAGTTGAAATCTTGTGGCTTAGTATAGTAAGTTGCACTACAGTAGGCCTACTGAATCTGTGGCGATTTCGCCTCCTCTAGTTGCAGCTTACTAGGTTAAGCATATCCATCCCCATATCCATGGGAAATCCAGTCCATGATCTATCGTGAATACCTGAAATCACAACTGGGGGTGAGTGAAAAATCCTACTTCTGCAGTCCTTGGTACATCTTGGTCATCAAATGAGTGTTCTTAGTCCTTCAAATGAAGGAACACTGCTGATTGTGGTCTTGAGCCGTTGCCCCTCCTGTGCTGGGCCATTCTCTTGTTTAGTGGGTGTTTGGTTTCTCTAATGTAGAGCCCCCAACACTCCTCTTTGCATTGGACCACATACAGTGGTGCCTCAACTTATGAACATCCCAACTTACGACCATTTTGAGTTACGACCTGCTCTGGCAGCAAAATTCTGTTTAGACTTGTGACTGGAGCTTCGACTTAAAACAGAAAAAAGGAGGGAAGGAGGGGAAAACGGGAAATTTGAACTGCTTTCAGTTAACCGTTGCTCAGCGGTTAGAGAGTGTGGGTTCAGAGAGAGACTTCAGACTGCCTGGTACTGCCTGGTATTGTGCTGTACTGTATTGTGGGTGGAAAAGGACTGCAGAAGCGGGATTTTCACTCACCCCCAGTCCTTTTTCCTTCTAATGAACCTATTCAGACCAGGGGGAAGTGAAACCAAAGTGGAGGATATATCAGGGATCTCCTACCAACTCTCCTGAAGACTGAAGAAGCTACAGTGGTGCCTCGCTTGACAAGGATAATTCGTTCCGTTGAAATCGCCGTTAAGTGAAATCCTCGTCAAGCGAAACGAAAAAGCCCATTGAAATGCATTGAAACCAGTTCAATGCGTTCCAGTGGGCTAAATACCTCAGCGTCCAGCGAAGATCCTCCATAGGGCGGCCATTTTCGGTGCCTGTAAAGCGAGGAATCCGTCCTGAAAACACAGCGGGGAGCCATTTTGCATAGTGGGTGGCCATTTTAAAGCTGCCGATCAGCTGTTTCAAAATAGTCGTTTAGCAAAAAATCGGTTCCCGAAGCAGGGAACCGATCATCGTTAAGCGATTTTTTACCATTAAAACATTGTTTTGCGATTGCAAAAGTGATCACAAAAACTTCGTCAAGCAGTTTCGTTGTTTAACAAGGTAATTGTTAAGCGAGGCACCACTGTACTCGGATGAGTAGTGAAACGTTTCTGCCTAATAAGCCCAGTGGCCATGACTTAACTTCCAGATCGTGGTCTTCCTGGTGTGTGTGGTCCTGATCTTTCTGGGGATGGATGAAAGGGCGGCATGACATATTGTATCTAAGGCCTCCACCTTTTTTGAGTGAGGGATTTTCTATACGCACATGTATGGCCTCTCTGACCCCTCTCTCAAATCACCTGTCTTCTTGGTCCAAAAAGGAGTACATCTTGGTCATCAAATGTGTGT